AGCAGCATCACCATCCGCATCATCATCAATGTCATGATCAGCATGATCAGCATGATCATGATGAACATCACCATCAACAACAGCATCGTCACACGCATCTCAAAGTCAATACCACAATTCTACAGCATCACCATCACAATCTCCAGCTCCATTACCATCCCCATCACCCTAATCATCATCAACATCAGCAGCATCACCATCACCATCACTAGCATCACCATCATCATCAGCATCATCATCAGAAGCAGCATCATCATCAACATCATCATCCCCTTCCTCCTCCTCTTCCTCCTCCTCCTCCACCACCTCCTGCTCTTCCTCCTCCTCCTGCTCCGCATGCTCCTCCTCCTCCTCCTCCTCCTCCTCCTCCTCCTCCTCCTCCTCCTCCTCCCCCTACTCCTCTCCTACTCCTCCTCCTCCTCATCATCATCATCAGCATCATCATCCTCCTCCTCCTGCTCCTCCTCCTCCCCCTACTCCTACTCCTCCTCCTCCTCCTCCTCCTCCTCCTCCTCCTCCTCCTCCTCCTCCTCCTCCTCCTCCTCCTCCTCCTCCCCCTCGTCGACATCCCTCTCCCACTCGCCCTCCTCCCCATCCAGCTCATCCTGCATCTCCTGTACCTGCTGCCTCCTGCTGCCTCCTCCTCCTCCTCCTCATGTTGCTTCTTCTCCTCCTCTTCTTCCTCGTTCTCCTGTTCCTCCTCCTCCTCCTCCTCCTACTCCTCATCATCATCAGCATGAAAAACACATCATCAACATCATCAGCATCATCATCATCATCATCATCATCATCATCATCATCATCATCAGCAGCATCCTCCTCCTCCTCACCACCACCATCATCATCATCATCATCACCACAACCACCACGGCCACGACCACCACCACCACCATCATCATCATCATCAACATCAGCATCGTCAACATCATCATCATCGTCAACATCATCAGCATCAGCATCATCATCATCATCACCATCATCATCATCATTACCAGCTTCATCGTCATCATCATCATCATCAGCATCATCATCATCGCCATCATCATCATCATCATCAACAGCAGCAGCTTCATCATCATCATCATCGTCATCATCATCAGCACTATCATCATCAGCATCAGCAACACCGCCATCATCAGCATCACCACCATCATCAGATCCATCATCATAAGCATCAACATCATCAACATCAGCATCATCATCATCATCGGCATCACGATTCACCGCCGTCGCAACCATTGTAAACATAGTGGTCATTAGCATCACCATAATCATCGTCATCCGCATCGCCAACTTCATCAACCTCATCATTATCATCATCATCATCATCATCATCATCATCATCACCGTCATCAGCACGATCATCATCACAACCATCATCAGCATCATCAGTATGATCATGATCAGCATCATCATCACCGTCATCGTCTTCATCAGCATCACCATCATCAACATCATCAGCATCGTCAGCAGCATCAACCTCATCATCATCAGCAGCAGCAGCACCATCACTATCATCATCATTATCATGCCTACAATCCACATCATCATCATCATCATCATCATTATCATCATCCACTGAATCTCCGTCGTCATCAGCATCACCATCACCATTACCATCCACATCATCATCAGTGTCATTATCCACATCATCCCCTTCATCATCATCATCACCATCATCATCATCAGCATCATCATTGTCATCGTCGTCATCGTCGTCGTCGCATCGTCACCAGCCTCACCATCAACATCATGATCGTCATCAGCCGCAGTAGCAGTAGCATTATCATACTCACCATCATCATCATCATTACCAGCATCATCATCGCCATCCTCCTCCTCCTGAACATCATCATCAACATCATCATCATCACCACCATTATCATCATCATCATCATCATCATCATCATCATCATCATCATCAGCACCATCAACATCATCATCACCATCAGCATCAGCATCATCATCATCGTCATCGGGATCAGCACCAGCATCAGCATCATCATAATCAGCAGCAGAAGCATCAGCATCAGCATCAGCATCAGCATCATCAGCATCAGCATCAACATCATCATCATCCCCTTCCTCCTCTTCCTCCTCCTCCCACTCCTCGCCGACCCCCGTTCCCTCTCCGGAGGCCTGGACCTCCTCCACAGGACTGGTGTGTCATCTCATGCTCGCTTTTGTCGTCTGTCCCCGGCCCCGGCGAAGGCCCCCCAAGGGCCGAACACGTCTCAAAACTTCCAGTCGCGCTTTTGTCGGGACGCGAGAGGGTTTGCGTCCCCTCGTCCTCCTCCTCCTCCTCCTCCTCCTTCCTCCTCCTCCTCCTTCCTCCTCCTCCTCCTCCTCCTCCTCCTCCTCCTCCTCCTCCTCCCCCTCCTCCTCCTCCCTCTTTTCCTGGCATCGACGGCCATGCCCCCGAACAGGGCTGGGGCGGCGAGGCGGGACACCCCCGCCTCCCCCCCCCCTTGAACGGATCATCGTGCGGAGATCCGAAGACAGCAAGTCGTCTCGACCGCAACATGAGTATCCTTTAACCGATCCCCATTCCCAGCGGCATGGCCTGGGCCCCACTGACCGATTAAACCTCCTAGATGGAGATATAAGCCGGTTCCTTCGGGTTTCGAGGGGTGTATCCCCAACTGGGGAGGTAATTTGGTGGGGGTTTCGAAGGGGATGGGGATGGGGATGGGGATTGGTCAAACGATACCGACCACACCCTTGTTATCAGGGTGCGGCCCCGCAGCGACTGTCCTCCAACTCCTCCTCTCCGCAGGGGAACAGACGGAACCCAAGCCTTTGACCTGGGCGCCCCCTGTTCCCCATCCTCGCCGACCGCCCCCCCCTCGTCCTCCTCCTCCCTCCCCCAGGCTCGAGGCGCAGCTGCACGGGCGGCCGACCTCTTCGGGGCCAGAGGCTCGCATCCAGCCGCCCCCACCCTCCAGGACTGGGCGTCTTGCCGGGGTCTGGTAGGCTCTGGTGATGACGGCGGCGCGCGCGAGGGGGTAGCGCAAGGGGGCGGTATTCTAAAAAGGCGGGGGGCTGTTCTAAGAAGACCAGGGTTTTCTTGGGAACCCTCCCGCTCCTAAGAAGCCGTCTTGCAAATTCCCAGGCCCTTCTAAAAAAGGCCCCAGCCTTCCAAGAAGCGCGCCGCCTTCTTGGAAACCCACCCCTTCTAGCGCCACTCTCTTGCGCGCGCGCCGCCAAAGAGGAGCAACCGACGGCATAAACATCATAACGGCATGCCCGCGATATTCGCCCCCAAGGGCTCCGAAAGTCCGAGGACCCGGTGGGGTACTTACCCTGTGGCGCGCCCGACCCATTAGCATCAAGTGACAAGAGGAGTGGGCCAGTGTTGGCATGAACGAGGACAGTGCGGACGCTGCGAATTGTTGTGCGAGCTGAACGGGATGCGCATGCGTTGCGCGATGTCACACGACAGCGCTCGCAAGGCCAAGGCTTGGGGCCCCAGGCTCGAAGAAAATGGCGTCGGGTGGGAGGGAGGAGCAGGAGAAATGCAACATGGGGGGCCGAAGAGACGACGCGGCAGCAGCAGCAGCAGCAGGGATAATGCAGCAAGGGGAAGAGAACAATGACGACCAACATAGCGGGAGGAGACAGAAAGCCGCCGTTTTTTCAGTAGCGCACTAAGCCAGGAGCGCTGCCTGCGCCATGCCGCCGGAGCGTTCCAAGTACTCAAGCGGCTCATAGCTCGTGCCAGAAGCGAGCGAGACCGAGCTCACCCGCTAGTTCACCCTTCAATGCAGTAGCTGAACGCCCGCAGGCGCGCCGCCAGGTCTGAAACCCCCAGCAGTCCTCGAAAGTGACAAGAGCTTCGCGGATTGCAGCCACCCAAGCATGGCGAGGTCTGATCTGAGTCTGGGTGGTGCTTCGTTTCGCTGGGTCCCCCAGACGCCCTCGAAAGTGGCAACCGTCTCGCAAACCGCAGCCTTCCAGGGATCGCGAGGTATAATCCAGGTCTGGGTCGTGCCTCACTCCGCTGGACCCCCGGCTGCCCTCCAACGTGGCGACAGTTTCGCAAATCGCAGACACCCAAGGATGGCGAGTTCTAATCTGAATGTGGGTGATGCCTCACTCCGCTGGACCTCTCAGCAGCAATCGAAAGGGGCGACAATTTCGCAGATTGCAGCCCCCCAGGGATGGCGAGGTCGAACCTGAATCTGGGTGGTGCCTCACTCCGCTGAACCCCCAGCAGTCCTCGAACGTGGCGACAGCTCCGCAGAACGCAGCCCCCCCCGCCCAGGGATGGCGAGGGCAAGCCGAGTAAGAAGCAGGAGAGAATAGGGGGCAAGCAAGCCTACCTCGCTTTTGACCACCCTCGCTTCCAACAGATACCAAGCGATGCCAAACTACGGCCTGTACTGATCAGGCCGCTTGACGAGGAGGCGCGTGGTACGACTTGGTTTTGCCTGGAAGCGAAAGCGGGGTAGGTAATTCACGCTCTGAGAGAAGAAGGGGAGCGAAGAGAGGAGGGCGGGCAACAGAGAGGAGGGCAGAGAGGAAGAGGGA